GATTTTGAGCAGCTCCAGCGAGAGAAAGCATCGACTGATCAGTGAGCACTTTTCTGTCTCAGTGACGTGAGCAGGAAGATTTGAGCTGGGAGTTTGAATGGATTCCTCAGCATTTCTTCTCCATTATAAAGTGGAAATGTCATTTCACAGCCGCTGCCCCAAACGGGAATCGAGGCGCTTCTGAGAACTTAGCACTTGTTCAGTGTCAGCTCTCCAATAAAACACGCAAAAGCCTTGGAGTGAAAATCATTAGAAAACAGGTCAAAATTAAGTGAATAAATGAATTTGACCCATTTACACCTGAGACACACACACACACACACACACACACAAAAGAGACGTGAGGTCAGTGAGAATGTTAATGCATTTCAAATGAACATGCCAGAGAATAATACCAAAGAAGGTCAACTTTCATATCGTACTTCATCGAGCTCTGAAGAACCAATTTCATCCATGTCCAGCACTCCGGCAGGTTTTGGCTCTCTTAAATGTCACCTAAATGCACAACGTGTCAAAAACAAACACTAGAATATATGAAATAATGTGGCTGCTCTTGTAGTCTGTGAAGTACGTCAATAATCTGTGTCCGATTTCCATTTCACCATTGCACTTGTGCTGGAGAGAGAAGAGTTTGCACAAACATGAATGTACAAGCTGCATGCACACAGTATGTATTATTTCTGAGTGAAATCCTGCAGCTGTATATTCATTCAGGATGAGCGACTGTGCTGCAGATCGTACTGTTATCCAGCCGCTTCAAGCCATGCATCCCCATCACACCGGCTGTCCTGCTGCATATGATGACAGCTCACACTTCTCTCCGAGGGTTGTTTTAATGAGTGTGTGAGGAATAATGTGTTTGCTCCCCTCCTCCATTCTCTCCACATCCAGCTCAAATCACAGCAGCGATGAGATGGAGCCTCGGCCTTTACGTCTGATTGCCTCTCGTCCCACATCTGTCAACAGCAGAGGGTCATAAAAGAGGTTAAAGGGTGTTTGGTGGACATGGAAGTGAACAGATGTCATTCTGTTTTATACGGCACACAGACAGTCCCGCTATTGGTGTTCTCTTTATTATGCGAAATGAGCGTCACTCGCTGAAACCTACTTTAAAGGATAGTTCATGGATAATTTATTCCCCCTCAGTTTGCTCTAAACCTATCGGTTTCTTTCTTGCATGGAACACAAAAGGAGATGTTTAAAAAATCATACCGGGCTCAAAAAATCATACTGACCCCAAACATTTGAAAAGTAGTGCATATAAATATAAATCTTTATTTTATTTAACATAATATGACATATGCATTTTAATGCTGCATGGTGCTCTCTCTGTCATCCAGACCAAACACTGCATCCCTGTTTTCCATCTGCTCATCAGTCTGATTCCAGCATTGATCCGTGCTGTGTTTCAGGCCACTAATGCATCCTCTATCTGTTGGAAAAGCCCGCATCTGGGAGTCACAGCATGAGTCAGTTCAGGAAAATGCCATTTCAATCAAGCCACACGCGCAGGAGGAGGTGCTAGGATCCTCTGATAGCAGACCTGCACACTCACTCGCCATTTAAAGTCAGTGTAAGAGGCTGGTCTGCATGGAAACACAACAGATGAATGCACCTCTTTGAGAATCAACGCTCTGCAGTAGACAGGATGGGGCATGTTGTCACACGGGCAGAGAAGCTGGTTGTTTCAAACAGTTAGTTCCAAACCATCCTAAACTTATTAATGCAATTTATTTTGGTCAAAACAATGATTTATGTTTGTATGTTATCTTTTCAAACCGCTTACATATATTGCATTTTTTTTTTATTATTGTAAGTTCTTTCTATTGTACAACAAAACAACAACTTGCGCAATACCGCATAATCTCTGTGTAGTAGAAGCTTCTGTCAACAGAGACTAATGAAAGCTCTGAAAGCCTATACAATTGTATTTAATGGCAGGTTCACACTGTGACAACATGCCCCACTATTATGTTCTATAATAAGGCATAATGTCTATAAAGAATCTGACTTTCAAAAATAAACCTACCATGAGAAATATTCACTTTCGTGTATTACCATAATTTATTTTGGTCAAAACAATAGTTTTTATAGGCCTACTTTTATGTTATCTTTTATTATTTATTATGTGTGTATTTTGCTGGGAAGCCTATATCTATTGCACGTTTTATTATTATTATTATTATTATTATTGTAAAATTCTATCCAAGTACAATAAAAAAAGATGTGCAATACCCAACACACAATTATAGTTCATACAGGTTCATTGTGACAACTTACCCCGTACTTCAATAAGAAGCATCAGTGAATGATGCTGTACATTCTCCCAGACAGAGACAGACTCTCTCAACACACTGCCTCATTCAGTGACACACACTCCTAGCTCCCGAGATGGAGATGCGTGTAGTAAAGCAACGGTGGCTTACTCAGTGATTTGAACGAATCGTTTGGAGTGAATGATTCAGTGATTCACTTATAAGCACGGTCACTTGTCGCCATCTGTTATAGTTTAGTTCATTTATTCCTGAGTTTACAATATTTTTGCAGCTCATTGACTCAAATGAATCTAAAACTGGTTCATATGGGTGTCTAGCACCTGCTAGTGGAACATTCTAGAACTGACATGAAATGAACTCCAAAATAACAGAGATGAACAGTGATATTGTAATCTAAGATCATAGATAGCTATTTATTATTATTGAATTCTAATTATTTATAAAGTTAATCTCAGGTGAGCACCTGACGGTTTGGTGCTGCTCTTTAGATTTGTTTTCATGGTTGCAAGGACTTTATCTCGTGTGTCACACACACACACACACACACACACACACATGTTGTGTATTCATCACGTTATGGGGACATTCCATAGGCGTAATGGTTTTTATACTGTACAAACTGTATGTGCTACTGCCCTACACCAACCCTACCCCTAAACCTACCCCTCACAGGAAACTTTGTGCAATTTTACTTTCTCAAAAAAACTCATTCTGTATGATTTATAAGCTTGTTTCCTCATGGGGACCTCAAAAATGTCCCCACAAGGTCAAAATTTACTGGTATTACTATACTTGTGGGGACATTTGGTCCCCATAACGTGATGAATACCAGGTGCACACACACACACACACACACACA